TATAAGAATATATATGTGTACATATATATATATATATTTTATATATATATATTATACATATATATTATATATATATAAAAAAGCATGTTTGGTGTTATCTCTTACGAACAATTCAACTTGAATAATAATTTGATGATAATTTTTTACGGTGACAGGAGATCAAAGCGGTGCAACTGGAAGAAAGTTTGATGGAAGGTGAAGGGGAGATGGAAGTATCCGATTCGGAGGAAGAACCGCAACGCAAGAAGTCGAGGAATCAAACGGACTCTCACGACGACTCCGAAAGATTACAAGTCCTCAAAGAGGAGAACGATAGTCTTCGATGTCAATTAGAAGCATATAAAAACGAGGTGAAAAATCATTTATTGACTATATCTCGTTTATTTATTGTTATAATTACGAAACGTTGCGAAAAAGCAAAGTTTACGTTCTTTTTAGGTGGATTTGTTGAAATCCGAGACGAAAAGCGACATCGATGCGAAGGACAAACAAATGAAAATGTTACAACAAACTTTAAAAGGAATGCAGGAACAGTTAATGCAATCGAGGAAACAGCAGGCTCAAGACGATCAAAAAATTAAGGATCTGACCGTGAAATTGAATGCCACCAAAAAGGAGGAACCTAGAGAGAGCGAAATCATAACGCTGGACAAAGACGATGACATAAACGAGGAGCCACGGACTCCAAAACAATTATCTTTAACGTCTAGTTTTGTTCAAATTACTCAAAAGGATGCAAAGCTTATAGGTACTATCTTTTGAAGACTTTCATTCGATCTTTGCTTTAAAATTCTATAAAACTGTTTCATTCTGGAATTCTAGGATTAATAGCGACATTTTTACATATTCATCCGTTCGGCGCGAGCGTAGATTATTTATGGTCCTACCTACAAAAAATGGAACACGGCATCAAGCCAAATGAAGTAGAAGCGCTGATGCAACGATTTCCCCAAGTCTTCAAGCAAGATTTGTTTGGAATTGGAGCGAATATGGAAAGACGTTGGCAGTTTTCAGGTTTCAATGTTTATCGTAGTCATTGAGATTGGTAGAACGATTCGATAAGAAATTTTGTAATATTGTCATGTCACGTCTCTTTTTATGTAGATTCAACCTGCGAGATTCGGTTTTACAAAAAAAAATGTTTTTTTTATTTTTATTTTACAACGCCATCGTCGCACCAAGAACTTGTAAGTGAAAGCAGTAAATCTAATTATTACCAAAATTCTATCGAGAATTAATTAAAGTTTTTGCTCTTTTCCTCTTCATTTCACGTTGGAACACTCTCGATCCAACGATGATAAAAATATCTATAATATCGCTAAGTATAGCGAGTAAGCTAATAACACTTTTTAGACTATGATTAAAGAAATGAGAAAGGAGAGCAACTTTTTCATGTTGCCTATAGTTTAGGAGATTCGTCATCATGTTAGTTTCACCAATTTTTATGTGCCATGGAACAAAATCTTACTTTTGAGAGAAAACAATGACTCCTAGCTGATTCATTGTCAACTTTAATTCGACAAAATTGTTATCCACCACTTTCTTTTTAAATTTCAACATGAATATGTATTCCACGATAAATCTTAAGGTGAAACAAGAAAAAACTTTGTAAGTTCTTGGTAGATTTGTGCGTTACATATCGTACGTACAATATTGTGTACAATATTACAATTCGTTAATTGTATTTCAATTTATCTGTTACGTTTGTCAACGTTCTATTTCGTGGACTAAAAAATGAAGTACCAGCAGTGCATCGTACTTTTTATATCAACAGTTACATATGTTTCAGAATTAAACATATACAAATATTCCATACTGCATATGTTTAATATCAATTTTATATTACACCGTAAATTAAATGTACAAAAATAATTGCATGTATCTTTGTATCGACGTATTCATCGTTGCTCGGGAGATGGCTTCCCGGAAGGAATATGGATCTAATTGGTCAGCTTTCATCTTTCCTCATCTTATGTTCGATGCTACAATTTCGAGTACACGTAACCTATCAAAACTATAAACAAAGAACACATCATGATTCGCGGGACCTCTCTTGCTTCTGTGCCATACCATTCATACCAGGGATCATTTGATTGTCTACTGTGCAACGTATCGTACGTTAATGTTTATATTTTATTTTCAAATAGAAGTTAACTCCATAAATACTACAGTTCCGATGATAGATACACGTCTTGTATAGCGATAATTGGATTTTAAACATTTTACAAGTACGTTTTGCAACCATACTTGCGGCTTCTTAATCATTGAATATTATTTCAATCTTAAATTGATTACAAAATAAAGGAGATGATTCATTTATATTCTGAATTCTTCGTTTCCAAGGCTTACCAGTAGAGGGCTAGAAATTGAGAATGGTTGTTAATTTTTGAAAATTTATTATCATAGTGATTTGAATATTTTTGAACGACAAGTTTTCTGTTTGCCCGGAAAGAATGCGCATGTGTCCAAACGTAATGCAGTTATATAAATCCTTTATCAGTACGAATCAAGAAGAGGAATTTTCTTACTTTTTTTTATCTCTCTAACCTACACGAACGTGCAAGTGTTTATGTCAGATGGCATTAATTTATACAGAAAATTAATAGATATACAAGGTGATTCGATCGTTTCTGAGATTACTGAAGCATCTCAAGTGTTTCCCCCGACGTGTATCGAGTAAAAGTGGTGACATTTCATAATTACGAATTCATCGATTTTAGAAAAAAACGTTCACAATATGAACTCTGTAGATTACTACAATTTACTTGGTTGTACGCAAGAATCGACAACTGAGGATATAAAACGTGCATATCATGCATTAGCGTTAAAACTTCATCCAGATAAAAATGTATTGGAGCCTGACCGAATAAAGTTTCAACAGATTTCAGAAGCTTGGAATATATTACGTGATCCCAAGTTAAGAAAGGAATATGACGCAGTACGAAAACAAGTAGAATTAGATGTAGATGATGCTCTGATACATGCAAGAATATCTGTTGGTGAACTAGAAACAAGTGATTATAACAAAGACATTTTCGTTTATCAGTGCAGATGTGGAGATTTCTACAGTGTTCAAAAGGAATACATACAGGAAAAGAATCAACTTGTGCATGTTCCGTGTTCACAATGTACTTTTGTTATTGTTGTCGAAACATAATTATTGCGAGTGAAGATCAAAATATTTGATAACGCTTGAAATTGTTATGATTAAGAAACAAGATATAACAAAATTTAAAATGCAGCAACATTTTCTATTTCTTATAAAAAAAAATGATACAACAGATAACACATCATTACAAGTATAAACTATTGAGCAATATACAAATAAAACACGATTCTTTGAATATTCTAGGCACAATAATAAAAATTGCATTTACATGAATCATGTCTTAGAATATAGATAGTACATGTATGTATATTTCCTGATATACTATTGAACAAAATAAAATTTTCATAATGGTACAATCTTATTGTAAGAAAAATTCCTATGCAGAAAATTATGATACTTTGAAAAATTTTATTATTTGTACTTGTTCTTGTGTAACAACTGATTATATTTTATTTAATGATTCATGCATATTGCACAGAGAATTCTGCAATTCTTATTATTGTCCCATATCAAAATCAGACTCTCATTATTAATGTCCAAATTAATACATTTTATTTTGATATTGATTTTCTGATAGTCCAATTAAATCATTATCATGAATTAATTCTTGTTAGAAATGATCTTTTTTAATGCTGTACGTGCAGAAAATTGTTACATATTTTACGAATATTTTGGACAAATAATTGCATATGGTGGTATAACCTTTTATCAACAGATACGATTACCTTTTCATAAAAATTATGAAAACACTATCTACATGTACAAGGACAATATAAATAAACTATATCCATTAGTTGTGGTAAATATTTATGCTATTATATTTATATTAGGCAAATACTATGCATAATATTTATGAAAAATATAAAAGTAAAATAAAGTGCAATATGTATGGCCTGAAGTGATCAATATTCATAAAAGTATTTGAATTTATAGATTAAAATTTATAAATATTTTTCTACAATTATACACGAGCAGCAGTAAGATAATTGTAAAAAGGTATGACAATCCTGATACATGTAGATATGCGTAAATTGGTAACCGATCATGGTAAAGTTTGCAAATTTGGAAAAGACAGAGGCATTGTCGGATTTTGTTCCTTATATGAGGATAATGTTATAGCACAAATTCCTTGTAGGTAGGTATGTAACACGTTCTAATGCTCCGATCAATGATTAAAATAAGAAAATGTTACAGATAATAATGCAAGATAACGTTAATATCGATAAAATATTAGAAATCGCTGTGATTTTCACAGATGCATTTTTAAATTGAAAAATTCGATACATGTTACAATTTTACGGTATCATATGAATTTTGCCTATAGACATTCCAGACGATAAAGATACCAAACTCTGATGTCTATGAAACAAAACAAATCAAATGAAATAAAAAGCAGTGTGTACATTTCATTACAAAGCTATTAGATAATATTTACGTTTTTCAATAAATTATGCATAATTATCATCAATGATCAATATTAATAAAGAATTTAAATAAGCCTAATTATGTATAACAGATTTTAAAAAATTCTTATATAAAAAGAAAAAAGAACCTTCGCTTAGTCATTTTATTTCACTTTCATGATTTACTCAAATTTACTATTTCATTCCATATTCCTTACTTTTTTCTGTCTTGCTTTATCTTTTATTTGAACTTGACCTTTATTTTTCAAGAATTTGAGATTCTTTATGCGATATTTTCATCTATAAGCTTGACAAATATGGTAAGAAATCTTTCTTTCTGTAGTGTTAAAAATACTTTCCTAAATGCCCATACAAATCGTTATGTAATCATAATATTTATAACGTGGGCTGATTTTATTTAAATTGCTAGCGATTTCCTTTAGATTTCATAACAGCAATAATACAATAGTACACTGATAAGCTCCTCGTTCTTCATAATTTGTTGAGTCTTTGAAATTTCATATTTGTACACCATGATTAACACTAGGTTTACAGACATTTATTGTGCAGTTTATTCTATTGTTCCTAGAACAATAGATGTTCGTTTATTTAGATCTCGGAAAATAGCGATTTAAAAATAGATAATCAGGATACATATTCGTTCAATTGCATCAATAAAAATCGACGTAAACGTTTAACAAACAATAAAATATAAAATTCAATTTATAAAATTCAATGCGCGTCAAGGTGACGCGTTCCGTAAACCCAGTGTTAATACACTCCATAATTAATATAATTAATGCCTTCGGTTTGAACATTCTACCACTTTGGAGATCATTTGTAGCAACTACAGAATCACGTCTGACTTTTCACGATCTCCCTTCGAGTTATCGACATACATTCTTATCACAATCACGCCACGTAATACATGAATCATTGTACAAGAGATTGTTTGCGCTACCTAATCAGAGTATGTACAGAAGTCACAGAGGAGAGCAGTTTCATCTGCAAAAAAGTGCACTATTTTACCTCTACGTCAAAGTCGAGAACAAGTAGTTTGGTCTCCTCTGTGCCGTTACGGCTACCCACTGCACACACCAGTTTTGTATCACTTGCACGTATTCTCCACACAACACCACCACTTCCGCCGCTTTCCAACGCAACCAAATTCCTTATAAAATCCCCTAAAAGTACGACAATCATTTCAAGAAGGAATTATTAAAAAATATAAGAAGATTTTAGGAAAGTAACACAAACGTACGAACCAGTTTTAACGTCCCAAAGTTTAACCGTGCCATCGTCGGATGAAGTAATTACAAAGTGACTGTTAAACTGAAGGCAAGTAACTGCAGACTGATGCTTATTTGGACCAGAAAGAGTTTGAAGGCAGTGACCACTAACGATATCCCAAACTTTAACCGTCGAATCTGCGTTTCCAGACACTAAAATATTATTACGTAATTCCATTCCTGATGTGAGGGATTGATGTCCCATCAAAGTATGTCTACATGCACCGGTTTCAACTTCCCATACTCTTATGCTTGTATCCAAAGAACCACTAACAACGTGTACACCATCAAACTGAAACGGAAAACGGAAAAACATACAAATTTGTACAGATTTCCTGTCTAAGTTAGAACAGGATATATGATTCAATATGTAAAAATTCACATAATGCTTACTTGAAGGGAATAGACACGGTTTGTATGTCCTTGTAGAGTATGAAGGCACTCCTCGCGTTCTGGATTCCAAACTTTAACCACATAATCATAAGCTCCACTCACTACTAACTTTCCGTCGTATTGCACGCATCTAACAGCTGCCAAATGGCCCACGAGCACATGTAAACATTCACCAGTATCCACTTGCCACACCCTTAATGTAGCATCTCTACTACCACTGACTACTTTATTACCGTGCAAGTGCATACATCTCACGGTTGACGTATGTCCATATAAAGTGTGAATGCATTGGCCAGTTTCAGCATTCCATACTTTTAACGTACGATCCGTACTACCACTGATTACAGTAGTACCGGACATTTGAGAGGACCACACACCGCCCGTGTGTCCAACTAATGTCCTTAGGCACTATCAGGAAAGTAACACGTGAAAAAAAAAATGTAACAAACGGAAATTAATTGTATGAAAAAATATAAATTATGATAATACTGCAGTTGAGCCGCTCTACTCCGGATTTTCGTAGAATTGACAAATGTTGTGGAAATGCACAATTTAAACAATTTTTTCCTACAATAAAAATTTTACAATTGTACAATTTCCAAGATAATCGAAAAGAACTTTTGCTACTATTACACTGAATTCTGTATACATGAGCGTGTCCATGAGATTTTTAATCTATGAGAATTTTTATAATTGTCAAACATTCTTCTACTCTGAATCCGACGGTTTTTTGAAAAAAGTGAAATAGATTGAGACTTTTAAGAAGTAGTTCTTTTTAATTTCAGGAATTATAAAGTAAAAATAGAATTCAATGTAGTAGTAGCAAAAGTCTTCGCAATTATCTCGGAAACTATAAGGTTACAAAATTTTTGTAACAGAAAAAAGTTGATCAAACTATTAATTTCTACAAGAGTTGTCAATTTCACAAAAATCGGGAGTAGAGTGGCCCAAGGGCAGTATTACCTAAATTACTAATTTACCTTGCCGGTAACAGCAGACCACACTTTTAGAGTATTGTCATCAGAACCGCTTACTATGCGATTACCCGAAAACTGAAGACACGTAATAACATGATCGTCGTGGCCTTTTAAAACTTTTGGCGTACGAATTGGTTTTGTCCTCCAATTCATTTTAATATTGTGCTGCCTCATATATGCCTGCTTCCATGGGGATGACGTATTACCGGAATTTCTACAGTTTTTACGTTTTACTGGAGGCAAGTCTTTTAAATCTCCTATACCAGCGGCTCTGCACTTTTCTTTCCACAGTAAATTATCGTCAGCAAGGAATCGCCAATTACGACACGTCTGCGCAGCACGTAAAAGATCCCTTGGCTCTAAGAAAGCTAATACCGACAAGGCCAACTCCTTTGGCAATAATGATATGAAATCTCTCTGGAACTGAGGCTCTATCACCTGCATCATATGTCGCACTTGTGTTGGTTCACACCTTTCAATTAATTCATCTATAGCTAACATTCTCTCTGCATTTGACCACCTCTACAATAAAAATCAATATTACCAGCTTTTTATTTAATTTTATAAGTAAAATGCTTATTTGAAAACATAACTTGGTCTTCTTTTACCTGAAATTGGAGAAGCCAATCGCTCATTTCAGGTGGAGGGTTATCTTTTGTTGGAATGACACACCTCGTATGTTTACTTTTGTCGTCTACTTTTTTAATAATCCTAAAAATATGAAACCTCCAATATCATAGTCCATCATTCACATTATTAAAAAAACATTTTAGATCATTGTTTCATTATTACTCACATAGAATGTGACTTATCTTCTGGATTAAGTTTTTTACAAGGTAAACTAGATTCTGTTTCACTTTTACGCTTCCTTTGAGGTTGAACAACATCGAGTGGCACACAGGTATGTAAAATAGCACTCTGTACCCGTTGTGTAAGTGACTGTGTTTGTGATGCAGACAATGAACAATTAGTACTTTCAAGATCAGGTTCACATTCCGTGTCACAAAATATCCCAGTGTCACTGATCTAATACCATTATGCACGGATTAATTTGATGACATTAACGCAAAATTCTATTTCTTGTGAAACACACGTAACTTTAAAATAAAACTCACTTCACTATCTTCTTCACTGGTATCATCCTCTTCTTCTTCACCATCTTCACCATAATCCTCGGACTCTCCATCTTGTGGTAAAACAAAATGCATAGGTTCTAAGGAACTAGGCCCTGGTACACCTTCAATACCTTCTGCAGGACTTGGACTAGTACCACCTGATTTACTGTCACTTATCTTATTAGACGATGAAGAAGGGACAGACATTACTGGCTTATGTCTGATATATTATATTGCCTAGATGTAAGAAACAATAAATTTCTTTTAATTTTTTACTCAAATTTAATCATTCTATATGATATACATTGTATAGAACAGACAGATGTAAACAGAACAAATATATATTTCTATTTGTGATAGGATATTATTTTACACAATTAAATTATGCTTTTAAAATTAAGGGTTAGGAAGTAGTCAATTATTATTTTATACTATTTAAAATCATTAACTAGGGAAACTTAAAGAAACGTTTATTCACACACAAAATAAGAAATTTTACTTTCAAAGTAGTAGAAAAGTATGAACATAAAATTGAATGAAATAAAAAATATATGTATATGTATATATGAAAGGGCTGAAATTAATATTTTAAATACCTACATAATGTCTTATAATGTAGATTTTCTTAAATGTAAACTTAAAAGTATTATCAAAAGCGTGTTGATACTAAAAACCGACCAAATCACTAAAGAATGAAAAATAATCCTTTGGAGTACATACAAATCCTAACCTTAGATGAATCTTAGAATTAAATTGGACTTGGAACATAGCCTAGAATAATAAAAGAACAAACCGGTCAGCCACACCCCCACATTTATGCAAAATTATTGTAAATACAAAAAGAGTCAAATAAGAAGATTAAAAATGAAGAAGCAAATCATACTTAGGTTAAACGTTTCTCTTCGGTGGCACCCTTATTGTAAAACTATTGTACGATGATAATCCAAGTTTCTTAGTTTGAACTAATGTTTCTATCATATGATTGTGAAATGCATTTTTTGTATTTATTAATATTTCGCCAGATTATAAAGCGATAAAATGAACTTTTCGATGGAAGATTTAGGCCAACTCGACTGTTGAAATAAAAATAAGAAACAGGTACAAACACGGAGAAAGATCCATCGGTAGCTCTAAGTAGCCCCGAGGTTTTTATCTCTTCGGACTTGGTGCTTCGTAGACAGGTAGCTGTTGCACATGCGTTCATATTCATAAGCCGCGTATTCATCATTTATTTTGTCGTCACTATATTGCGAATATGTTTCTGCATTGTAACATAAACTTTTCAAATTCACAAATTATATATATATAATATATGTGTGTGTGTATGTATTATATGTATATATAAAAAATATATATAGACATATATTATAATGAAATAAATACTTATAAATAATGAATAGTAGAAACTGACAAATGAACCTTTTAAACTTCTGAACTAATAAAGTGGATAAAGTGCCATGTTTAATATTAGGCTCAATATTACTATAAGCAAACAGTATATAAGTACTTAATTTAAACGCTTATCAAGAAAGTAATAAGTAAAATATACTTTCATACACGATAATTGTTTTTAACAAGTTTTAATAACTTATACAGATAGCGTATAGTTTAGAATATAAATAATCATTACTACAATATAAAATATATAAATCATTATATTCTACGATGATTTTTACATGACGATTATTGTTATATGAATTTCTAAATTCTAAATAAATACGTTTCATACTTGAATGCACTTGCGATCATTTCGGGTGTTAAATGTACTTTCTCTGTGAACGGGACTTTAATAGACGTGAAACAAGTATAAGTAAAGACGCTCGTAGATGCAGTGTATTCAAAATTCTTCGAAATTGTTTCATGACGAATGTGATATGTCAAGCGGTGACGTTGGATAACTGAATTTTAAAGGTTATCAAACACGACAGAGAAATTGAAATATTCACATTGAAAGAAATCAGTCTAAATAGTATAACTCATCAATGTGGTAGATCTCTGTCTCGATCACCACTTCTCCTTATTTTTTCGCGACGTCGCGACGTATCGTGACGATAGATTATCCTGTAAATGTTCCAAGTTTTTAGGATAAAATAAAGGTTAGCTAAATTTTTAAAGTAATATAATGGCTGTAGGCACGACATTGCAGGTAAACTGTCAAAATTAGTTACTTTCATTTTATTTAACTAATTATTAAATTATCGGTTGTAACTGTTATATTTTCTTTTTATTTTATAGAAAGCTATAGATCTAGTTACCAAAGCGACAGAAGAAGATCGCAACAAAAATTATGAAAAAGCGCTCGAGTTGTATGAACATGCAGTTGAATATTTTCTGCACTCCATTAAATGTAGGAATATTATCTAATTTTTTTACTGTCATTTTTCGTTTAAACAAATATTGATTTAAAATTTTGTAAATCTCTTTAGATGAAGCACAAGGAGATAGAGCAAAAGAAAGTATTAGAGCTAAGTGTACGCAATATTTAGAGAGAGCTGAAAAATTAAAAGCTTATTTGAGGAAAAGTAAGAAAAAGCCTGTAAAAGCAGGGGAGGATAACTCCAAGACTGAAGACAAAAAGAGTGATAGTGGCGACAGTGATACTGATAGTGATCCGGAAAAGAAGAAACTTCAAAGTAAATTAGAAGGGGCGATAATTATTGAAAAACCAGATGTCAAGTGGGGTGATATCGCTGGACTTGATGGAGCTAAAGAAGCTTTAAAAGAGGCAGTTATTTTGCCAATACGTTTTCCTCATCTCTTTACTGGAAAACGGATCCCATGGAAGGGTATTTTGCTGTTTGGGGTAATTTTCTATACAAACAAGTATTTTTAATGAAAAAATATATATTTTTCAAATAATTTTGAGATATTTTCAGCCACCAGGTACTGGTAAATCTTATTTAGCAAAAGCAGTGGCCACAGAAGCCAATAACTCAACATTCTTTTCTGTATCATCCTCTGACTTAGTAAGCAAGTGGCTTGGAGAGTCTGAAAAGCTTGTAAAAAATTTGTTTGAATTAGCTCGGCAGCACAAACCTAGTATTATATTTATTGATGAGGTTGATTCACTTTGTTCATCGCGTTCTGATAATGAATCAGAATCTGCGAGAAGAATAAAAACAGAATTTTTAGTTCAAATGCAAGGTAAAAAGTGGTAACTAAGTTTTCCAATTTGGTTATGTTTATAATCTTTTTGATAATAAATTTAATCAATGTATCAGGTGTTGGTTCTGACAATGATGGTATACTAGTATTAGGGGCTACCAATATACCATGGGTACTGGATTCTGCTATTAGAAGAAGATTTGAAAAAAGGATTTATATACCCCTGCCTGATGAACAAGCTAGGGCTATAATGTTTAAACTTCATTTAGGAAGTACTTCTCATTGTTTGACAGAAGAGGATTTTAAGAGATTGGCTGCAGCTACTGATGGATATTCAGGAGCTGATATAAGTATTATTGTTCGAGATGCACTAATGCAACCAGTTAGACAAGTCCAAACGGCAACGCATTTTAAACGCGTTAGAGGCCCATCACCGAAAGATCCTTCGGTTATTGTAGATGATTTACTTACACCTTGTTCACCTGGAGATCCAGCCGCAATTGAAATGAATTGGATGGAAGTTGAAGGGGATAAGTTGTACGAGCCACCTGTAACTATGGTAAGTGTCACGATTTATGTTTATATCGATAATCATTCAAACATTTATTATAGTATAAATGTTTAAACTTCTATATTCAGAAAGATATGTTAAAGTCATTGGCAACAACTCGACCTACAGTGAACGAAGAGGATATGTCCAAACTAGAGAAATTCAAGCAAGACTTTGGTCAAGAAGGTTGATACTTGGAATTTTTTTATAGATGTAAATCAATGTACACTTCCAAAAATATGTTTCAGTTACACGCGCTTGCCTTACATCTTGTTTCATTACTAGTAGTACAGAGCATTTATATAAAACCACCTCAATCAAAGTTCTTGCGTATGTATCTCTGCTTCTCTGTTTCTTTGTCTTTCTTTCTCTTTTATTTTTTCCAACATTGAATATGCATTAATGATATCAGTGTAAACTTGATGCTTATTCACAAATACTATTTGTCAGTGTATAAATATCACTGAATGAACTATATATTTTGAATTGAAAAACTGATAAATTTCAATCAGCGGAAGGACGATACTGTTTTATATTAGGATACCTCGAGGAGAAAATTGAAATATGCGTATTTTCACACACACATATTATCTACTAATCTAAACACTATGATTGTACCTAACAAATTAACTGTATAATATGTAGATTTAAAACACATTTCGAAACGATATTTACAATTACAGTTCAGCAATTTCTTTGTATATTTTATAATTTTCAAATCTTGCTTAGGCATCCTTGACAGGTTATCTATGGTATTCTATATTCGTTTGTTCAAAAAACAAAAATGATAAATAATCAGTTTAAACGACTTAACAAATTAAGTGAGCGCGATTATATGTGGTATATGATATGTATATATATATATAAATATAAATATATGTATTTTATATGTATATGTATATGCATATGTATGTACGTGTTGCAATGAAACAGGACACTGTTTCTCTGTAAAATGTTTTTATTGTTAACTAAATAAATAATACGACGTACGATAAATCAGTGATTTCTAGTGACATTTGAGTGTGGTATTAGTTGTAAAGTACTGTACAAAAATAATCAGAAATTCTCATATATTTAAGGAGGACAATGTCTTAAATATTCAGAATCCATATAGACAACAGTTATCGTGATGTCATCACGAAATATCCGTACCACTGGGCTAGATAACGTTAATAATCGTGATAATTTTCCGTGATCTATACCGTAGTCTGTTCCACCGAGCGCATGTCTGAGTAGATGTGTTGCTGCATTACTATCAAGAGGTTTCTTTTTTAATCCTTCTTTACGTTGCACTAACATCTTATTAATATCAGACAATTTCATATTTCTACAAGGCAACCGTAGTGAACTTAATGTTACTTTTCCGCTCATATGTTCACCTACTAAACGCACGCCTTCTAAAGGAGATATTAAATCCCATAAACCGTCGCTAGCTATTATAAGAAATTTATCTCGGGGTGTTAATCTATGATATTTAACTTCTGGTTTGGCTGTCAAATATGGTGGAGTATGATAATTTGGTGGTATCATAGCTTCACCTATGTATGGCGCTACTTCTCGTAAAGTCTTTTTGTTCCACTTATATTGAAAATCACCTAAAGAACGAAGAGGCGCTAACTGACCAAGAAGTCGTTCCATTTTAATTATAGTAGACCTTTCATTTGGTGGATGCTCAGATAAAATTCTTTCAACTTCTGCGCGATTGTCGGTATTGTGTTCCACAGTCATTAATTTCGCAGACCAACCATCTTCTTCTGCAATTAATAAATAATAAAGAAATATTGTAATTCCTTTCAATAGAAATATTAATTTCTATTAAAAGCAATTCATACCAGAAAGCGTCCCAAGTACTGCTTGACAATCCCCTACTCCAGCAACGTGGAGATGGGGACCATCAATGTGCGCGACAGCTGCTACAGCACCACTTGTAGCAATCTCAAGGAACTTTTTGGTATTCTTTTTACCTAAGTTTAATAGTGCTTCATTCGACAAATCATTGTCTAGCCTCATAAATGCATTTTCCAAAGCTGTTTCCATTTGAAATTCTGTTGTACATTCATTATCTGCAAGATCCTTCATGAAACTTAAGAAACTTGCTTGATACAGATCTTTATTTTCGGAAATAAATTCAGTTCTATCATTAAACATTTGTAGAAGTTCTAATTTATTATCTGAATTAACTGTGTTCAGGTATTGCTTAAGTAACTTTTTGGGTAACAAGCAAGCTGATATATAATGAAAAAGTCTTTTTGATATCACTTGAGCACATGCATCACCTCCATGACCATCGAATACACCCAATAAAATTCCTACAACAAATGTGGATTGTCATTGATATTTTATTTATTATATACCTGAAACAATATTTAATGCATCTAGCATACCTTTGGTGAACAAACATTGGGCCTCTGATCTAGCATCTTCTATAGGATTATTAGATGGCAATTGATTAGAGTCATAATATTTCACAGAACTTTGCCCATTAAATTCTTTGGTATACTCGTTAGTTTGTAAAACTGTGGTAACCTATAATATAATTATATTTATTTTAAAAGTAAAAGTTTAGAAATGAATTTTGCACTGTTACATTACCTCCTGTGGTGTAAGACGTGGTAGTGCCATATACAACCTTCGAGTACATTTGTTACCATTTCGTTTTTTCTGTCTAACGCATACATTGCTGACAGCTTTAATTGCACCGTTGCTAATATTCTGAAGAATCATTATTTTCTGCGGTTTTGCAGTATAATTCTGCTAGCACGCTTCCATGTTTTTATTCCTATAGCACATCTCGGATATCTTGCAGGTTATGTTAAATACTTGTCACTTTAAAAACGAATCTTCAGGAATAAATTATTTATAATCTCATATAGTACATACCTCTTTATTACAAGTCTCGATAATACTTTTATAATTATTAAGAATGTACGTGTAGGGTATTATCGTAACTGTAATTTTAAGTAATTATGTTCGCATAATGATAATTGATTAAAATTAACAGTAACTATATATTTACACTAGAAATAATGTTATAACGACTAATGATATTCGTTATAAATTATACATAAGCATATACATAAGAAATACAATATAAAATGATCTACAATAATTACATACACGTAAAGTACTTGTGTACTATGATACGTGTACTTACATATGTCTAGTAGTAGATAGTACTACATCTATGCTGTGCATTAAAATTACAGGATAACTTATACGAAAGAGAACTTAGTAAAAGTTATTTTAAATCGTTCAAACGCAATGACTTACAGTGTCTCGGAAAATATAATATCGAAATAAATGCCATCCTGCTTGACAACATGATTCATAAATTCTTAAAAAATGAAATAATTAAGAGCAATATACTTAAAATTAATTTATTTCCCTTATTTCAGTAAATTAACTTATATTAAAGAATTGGTGATTGTTGTATTTGGTAAACGCCATTAATGTTAAGAATATGCATTTTAAACAAATAGATCATAATGTTTGTTATTTATTTTTATTTTGTTATAAAAAGTTGTTCAATATTAAACGCTTTGCATGTCGTCTAATCCTACTAATATTCAAAGATAGACTTGTTCTTAATTTAAACACAGCGCCACAATGGAAACAAACCGTAGAAAAAAACTGTTTTTGGTTTCATTGATTTTGCCTGGGTATATATAACTGCATATAGATAGCGGAACACCAGCAGCGAATAATTTGACCATTTAGTCCACATTATTCATAAGTCTGCACAGGGGCAAAAGTTGTTTCATGCTAGGGATTTTGTTTATGGTTTTGATTGGCTATGTGTAACCGTATTAACAACTAACAAATTAATAACGAAAATGAAATGAGTAAAGATGAAAGCTGACCAATGCAACTCGCATTCCTTTCAGGGCTCTTCTCGTGACCAACGTAGAGTAGATACTTAAGTAAATACTTATACACGACAGAGATTTGTGTCGAGCTTGTTAAGCCAAAGAATAAACCTAATTATAGATGAAATCTTTTGTAGTTAAAGAAAATGAAATCACAATAACTCTCCATTCCACTTGGAATTGCTGTAAGTTATTTTTTAACTCTAATGGTAACAAAATGGTTAGACAGATATTCTGATTATCATTGTTAATATCTCTTGGATTGGCAGAACTGTTGTTAAAGACAATTGTGGTGTACGCCAATTTGAATTTCAAAACTTGTTTGCCGTCAACGGCCGGTGATGGGTGTTTGTATGTGAATTTGTAACGTTTACTATAATGCTTAACAAAAAACATTTGACGAAAACATTTTCGCCTGATAAATTAAAGAAATGTGCGAAGAAACAGTTATTGATCAATGGAACGAAGCCGAGTACAAGTGGAAGTACCGCTTTAACGATACAAACCCAATCTGGCTCACAAACAAGTATTAAGGTAATTGTAAGGGTTCGACCACAGAATGAACTTGAACTGCAGGACAATTGTAGAACCATCATTAAAGTTGTTGACGATAAAATGTTGATTTTCGATCCAAAGGAGGATGAAAATCCTTTCTTTTATCGTGGGATTGTTCAGAGGGGTCGAGACTTACTTAGGAAACAAAACAAAGAATTACAGTTCATTTTTGACAAAATCTTCGATATGCAATCTACTAATAATGATGTATTTGAAGGAAGTACCAAAGATTTAATTGCCAGTCTGTTAGATGGTTATAATTGTTCTGTATTTGCTTATGGTGCAACGGGTGCTGGCAAAACTCATACGATGCTTGGCTGCAACAAAGACCCCGGTATCACTTACAGAACAGTGGCAGAACTATTTTCGCAAATAGAAAGTCAAGGTGAACATCGTGAATTTAATTTAGGTGTAACATATTTGGAAGTTTATAATGAGAATGTACAAGATCTTTTACATAAATCTGGACCTTTACATTTGAGAGATGATGGTAGATATGGTATTATAGTTGCTGGTCTTAAGGTAATTACCATTCAAAATGCAGAAGAATTATTGTCTCTTTTGGCAAAGGGTAATAGAAATCGTACTCAGCATCCTACCGATGCAAATGAGGAAAGTAGCAGAAGTCATGCTGTCTTCCAGGTTTATATTAATATTACCAACAAACTTGATGGTCAAGTGCGACAAGTAAAATTATCTATGATAGATTTAGCTGGATCCGAAAGAGCCTCTGCCACAGGAAGTAAAGGAGCAAGGTTTAAAGAAGGTACAAATATCAATAAGTCTTTACTGGCGCTTGGAAATTGTATTAACAGTTTGGCCGATGGTGCAAAACATATAACTTATAGAGATTCTAAACTGACACGATTATTGAAAGATTCGCTAGGTGGGAATTGTCAGACAGTTATGATAGCTAATATTGCACCCTCTAGTTTTAGTTATGAAGATACATATAATACTTTACGATATGCAAATAGAGCAAAGAAAATAAAGACTCACATAAAGAAAAATATTATATCTTGTGAAATGCATGTAACTGCATACATAAAAATGGTGGAGGAACAAAAAAAAGAAATAAATTACTTGAAGCAAAAGCTATTAGCTTTAGAAAATGGTTCGGTGGATGTTTTGCAACCGCCGGATGTATTACGACCGTCGGAAAATGCAAAAGTAAATGAGGAGATAGAGAGTAAATTGACCCAACTATTTCAAAAGAAGAAAGTTCTAAATGAAAAGATCTTATCATTAGAAAGCGCGGATAAAATATTATGTTGTAGAATTCAGTATAAGAAAGCAGCTGATGAGAGATTACATAATCTCACAGCAACTGTTGATGCTACAAGTTCAGAAGAACACAATGCTAGTGGTAAACTGCGTGTGAATAAATCTTTACAATACTTTGAACGACAAAGAGATTCCTTGAAAACACAGATGATAGTAACATGGGAGGAATTGTGCTCATGTGAAACAGAATTACAGAAACTGAAAACAGAAATCACATCGCAAAAACTTGAAAAATTAGAAGATATTATTTCACAAAGAACTTGTGAAGTAGAAAAAGCTAGACTGCAACAGCAGTATGAGCATGTTAAAAAGATTTGTAATCTTCAACAATGTGAAATGTTGTCCAATTATTCAATCATTAAAACAATGAGTATAACATTGCAAAATTATTACAACACAATGAGAAATAATGGAGCAATGACAGACACAATGAAAGACGAATTCAGACAATTGATTAAGTTGTTAGAAGGAGTGAGAAATATTAAGTGGTCAGACGTGGAAACTATTGATCATGAAGAACATTTTTATAGTTTAACTTGTCTTCTTAGTACATCTAACTTGATGGATCCCCTCCACAGTAAAGTACCAGTATTTACAACATGTGCCTTAAATAATCAAAATCAAGATAATTGTTCAAAAGATGCTTTGAATACGACTTTTAATGCATCCAGTTCAAACACAGATAGCGCTTCTGATTTGCATAATGTTACTGTTACTTTGCTAGATGGTTCAAATTCAACTGTTAAGAAAGATATAACGGAATCGGACGAAAATGCGGCAGAAGAACGTAGTATTGATATTTGTACTCAAGGAAATACGAGAAAGCGTGTTCTTGTAGACAAAAATCGTGGAGATAGTGGAAAAACACCCACAAAACAACAAAAAAAGATATTCACGAAATATAAAGATTCACTGGATTTATCAGGATTCAAGGGTAAAGAAAATAAACATGTACAAAAGTCGCATACAATGATGAGTGCAAAAAGTATTGCCACGTTAAATAAATTAAAAGCGGATAAATTTAAAAAAGATAGTTTTGATATGAATACAACACCAGCAGCCTTGAAAGTAGTAAGGGAGAAAGAAAGACGTGGATTAATGACAACACATCCATATCAGAAACCAAATGGGAAACAAAAGTGAGTATGAAATTTATATAAGAATGGAAGCAACTGGTACTTTCGTCAATTCAAAAATAATTTAACTATAAACATAGAAAATAGAAGTGTGGAAGTCAAACAGAGACGTAAAATTTTATAAGATAACGATCTTTGAGACTTTGCAATAATGAATCATGGCTACTATAACTTTGTACAAGAAAGATAAAGCTTCTTCTGGTGACTAAAATTTGTGTATCTTTACAGATCTGCTTCGGGTATGCCCTCGTCCCGAGGACCATGGTTGTAGAGATTGATACTATATCGAGAAATCTATGTAATTATTTATGTTTGAGCCAGTAAATAAGATGCGCAGAGAACTGGCTAAACAGTCCATATCTGTATTACAATATAAGTGCAAAAATTATTAGTAGAAAACTATAAAAATCTAAAAAATACTAAAATTATTAAAATAATTCTTTTTTTGAAAAACAACTTACTTATCGTACTTGTATAGATTATATTACTTAAGCTACGTCTGATAAATGTAACTGTATTTTGTAATGTGCTTCTTTACTAAAAGATTTCATAATTTACGCTACGCGTCCAGCTGAGAGTATTTTAACGAACTGTTTGAAAGACTGAACACGAAATGGATAAAGACAATAAATGAATCAATTTAAATTTATTTTAAATAGTTTCTTTCTTTTATATACATATATATTGTATATAATGCAATATTATATAATGCAATGAATACAAAAACTTACAACAAGATTTCTTCGAATTGTTAAAGGATAATGTTTGCAATAATGCATGTCCTTGACTAATAAATAATAGGTGAAGTAATTGCAGTTACTATCTTTATTTTGGAGAACTTTAAATTTCCTGCATGAATGATTTGTAAGAATGAAACTGAAAACTGTATTAGAAAATTGCAATGCTTAGTAGCACTTATTCTGTGTTCTCTTCATAATTGAGATTTAATACTTTTATAACAGCTTGTTTGTATTTGTCTATTGTAAAATGATCTTCTCCATTGTTTATCAAATCTGAAATGGCCATTTTGTATTCTGTTGCATGTGGTATATCTTCATAATTGAAATCTGTTGGTGGTTTTGGCCAGGAAAGTACAGTTATTAAAGTATTTCGACTTTTACTTTTATCCCAATCATAATATTCCATGTCTGCTTCATACTTTTCTTTCTCCCAAGGTTCAACTCGCTAGAATAATACATTTCATAATAGTTATCATTTTGAAGAGAATTGTTTTACATGAAAACTATTTTACGACACTAATTGATAACTTACCCAAGATATGTGGAACAAAGCAGTGAGAAGATAATTAACATAATCCAAATTTTGCTTCCTAATTGGACATTTGTCAGAAACTATCGTTAATATGCCTGTTTGAGGATTGTATTTCTCTCTTACTAGCCTAAGCATTTTATCTTTAGCATGAGCATTTAAGTTTAAAGAGGACAATTTTAATCTCAAACTCACTATTCTTGCTAAAGGTTCTCTTATCGTAGGAGAAGAATAACAATAATCTGAGGTAATTATCTCAACAGGAAAATATTTTTCACAAGCTTCATCGGTTTCTAATTCCTGTGGCCATTTTGTACAAAATTTTTTTAATTCATCACAGTGTGCTTTAACTACGGGTGGGGTAAGGTGTAAAAAATTTGGTATTTTCATGAGTTCTGCATTAGCATATTTATCTGGGTGTGGTCTCTTATTATGTTTATATCCTTGCCGTAGAGGTAGTGGTACAATAGTAGGATGAAATGTACGTGCAGTAGGCCAAATTGAATTCCAATTCTGATCTGTAGACATTGTTTCTTCTGGTGCCGTAACTTTTGGGCGCACGAACGGTGGTTTTTTCTTAAATGGTTCTGTTATTGGATACAAATCCAATGTACGAAATTCTATGGAAGGCAAACAATATAAAGTTACAATTATTTCAACTAAGCACGGAATCTCGAAAATAAAATGTAGTAGTATGGTTAGTGTATATAACAGAATTTGAATGGAAAAGTACCTTCGTCAGTATTTGTTGAGAAACAAAGTGATGAAAGCTTTGTAATTTTTGAACCTCTCTGGAGAATACTGCTTTCACAATGCCTCATTAATAACATCATTTTGTTGATAATGTAATTCTCGAATAACCTCAAAAATACGTGAACGTTAAAAAGTCGATTGTAAACAGCTGCTAGTTTTGTTTCGCGTATTTAAATCGGCTAGTAAGTAGTGTTGGTATTTTCTCATAGATGGAACTATGGGTGCCTTTGTTTATGTTTATGTTTATTATTACGTAGTATTATAAAATGAAATTCATAGTAGTTAAAAATGCTGTAGTTGACAATCGTTATCGCGTAATGTTAGTTAAGAAGAATTTAACGGGGAAAATGACATCATTATTTTCAGTTACAATTCCCGATAGTTGAAATAGGGTTTACAACTCTGAATGCTCGTTCGGTAGTTGACGTACAGATGTAAGTAAGTAAGCATGTTCCAGAGTTAAGTCAGTAGCTGAAAGTTGGTATTTTGAGAGATGACGTCTTCAGAGTTGCGGACGACTTTCGAGTTGAATTATGGCGTCTCCGCGCCCGAAGTCGCCGCGACCACCAATTTCTGCAAAGAAGGATGAAAAAGAAGAGAGTTTTTGGGATAAAATTGGAACATTGGGTCGAAAGAAGCGTATCAAAGAAGGTATCAACATTTCGTGTGATGTAATATCACTTACGCGAGTAACCTTGCTTGTTCTTTGATCATTCATGATCATTCATGATCATGGAACAAATTTCCTTATATGGCACTGATAGTGTATTTCCATTTTAAATTCACTTTTACAAACAGCAGCCAGCAGATTTCTTGAAAACTGGAATCACGCGAAATTTGAGTTCACAGTTGATGAATATTTGTTTTCATTGAAATGGTGAAACAGTAAAATAGCTAATAAATTAAGTAAATTGTTTGAAATTTGCTCAATTGTGATTTTAGTGCAAGAAGTGCAAGAAGAGGGAAAATATGCTATTGACTCGCCAGGATATGCGGCTAACCCAGAGATGCCACCAGAGGAGTATGCGCTCGACGAAAATGAGGAACGTTCCATGATAGAACCCAGGTCTATGGAGGATTCGAAGCTCAAAGAGCTGATATTCGTGTTAATTGAATGGATTAACGACGAATTGGCGGATCAACGTATTATTGTAAAAGATATCACTGAAGATCTTTACGATGGACAGGTATTGCAGAAACTTTTAGGTATGCTGATGTTTTAAAATTCGATACGATCGAAACATTACGTTCGTGTCGGTAATATTATAGTATACGTGAGGCAATACAAATTTATCTCATGAATTTTTAGAAAAATTGACAGGAAAGAAGCTAGATGTTCCTGAAGTAACTCAATCAGAGGAAGGACAAAAACAGAAATTGGCGGTTGTTTTATCCAGCGCTAATCGTGTTCTGGGTCGTTACCCACCTTACAAATGGAGCGTGGAATCGGTTCATTCGAAAAATATTGTCGCTATTTTGCACTTGTTGGTTGGTTTGGCGAGACAATTTCGCGCACCAGTCCGATTACCAGAAAGAGTGGCTGCACAGGTTGTCGTTGTACGGAAAAAAGATGGTCAATTGATACATAGAACAGTTAGGGAAGAAATTACATCGACGTACGATGACTTGGGGATGCGCTGTGAGCTCGACGCTTTTGACGAGCTTTTTGACCATCCAGCCGACAAGCTTGCCGTCGTTAAAAAGGTATGTTAAATGTGGTTCTACTCGATAAATGAACTCGGCAAAGGGTTAACCAGGTGAACCAGGACACCGACAAAGACGGATTCTCCAGTTTATGTTAACTGCATTTTCTTGTTTCAGTCACTAATTAACTTTGCCAATAAACATTTGAGTAAAGTACATTTGGAAGTGACAGATTTGGATACGCAATTCCACGACGGAGTTTTTTTGACTCTTTTACTTGGACTTCTCGAGGGTTTCTTCGTCCCTTTGGGAAGCTTTCATTTGACTCCTAAAACGCACGATCAAAAGGTCCACAACGTTTCGTTTGCTTTTGACATTATGCAAGACATCGGACTGCCAAAGCCGAAAGCCCGACCAGAAGGTATTTATTTCTAAGTATACACGTAGACGTACATTGTAAACAATAAGGAAACTATTGCAAATAAGAAACGGTGAATTTTCTTTCTACAGTAGCTATTAATTGGCTAACTTTTTCATAGAGAGAGATTTTCTTTTTGTTCTTTCCGAGACTTTCATGCTTGTAATAGTTTTCTCACGAAGGTGCGTCGTGCATACGTTTTTACGGTAATGGCATCTGATCCGTGGTGATTTACAGATATCGTAAATTTGGATTTGAAATCAACATTACGCGTATTGTATAACTTGTTTAGCAAGTACAAGAGTATGAACTGAAGGAGAGAACGTTATGACGACAAAGGAAGTACAAGCGATTTGAAATGATCAAACGACCAATACCATGATTATGGACATTAACATACTAACCAAAGAATATATCCAAGACGCGGATGAACAATGCGGTGTCATTGACATTCGAAAATTGTATACTTACAGAAGGAATATGACGCATCAAGAAAATATATTGTTTAACATTTCCAATTGTATTCGACAGTCTGTTGTTTTCTTTTTCGTTAATTGCAGTAGAATATTAAACGTATATTATTTTCTTATGTCTAATCCTACAATAGATTAAATCAGCGTGCATTATAAATTGTTCGTATCTACGTGAAGCAACATTTTTCGACGCTTGGGCCACTGTATTGGTTGATACGAAAAGCAATCTATTCGCTTATCGCTTGAAGCTCTTTCCTATAATATTCTGTAATGATTTTAGAAATCGACGACCCTAAAGGCGTTAAGTTCATTACATTTATTTCATCATTATTCGTCAAGGTAAAACAGATTCGTTGGACGTACATAC